AGTTGGATCTTGTAGATTCTATCGTTCTTTAATTTAAACAATTTGTTTGGATTGTAATTTTTGTAAAAAGATTTTTACGTTTTTTGTAAACACATTTTTTAATTACCTTTTTACCTTATATATATATCAAATCACTACCGTTTTTCTACAAAAATTCTAAAAATAGCAATTCAAACAGAAAGTTTCGGGCACATGGCATACGAACAGTTCTTGAAGGGCCATGTTGCAATAAACTCTGAGAAATGGTGCCATTTCTTTAGGTTTTCTCTTCTTGGTTTCGTGCTTTTCATTAATACATAGTCTGCTTTATATTTATGTTTGAACATGAATAATGCGTAAAAATTTTCTTCATCAACTTGGAAACTGCCGCAGTCGTTTTCCAATGTGTGACATTCTCTTTTTCGGCTGCTTCCTTCTCTCTTTTTTTTCCTTTCTTTTCCTTTGGTCCCAGTCTGTAAACGATTTAGCCTGTTAGCACTGGCGATCGGCAAGATTTCCAAGAAGAATATGCCCGCTCCTACATCAACATGCCCTCTTGGATGATGACAATTTTGATTTCCTTAAAGTTGAAAAGAAGAGCCCAGCGGATGTTTCAACTTGATTCTGTCAAATGTTAGTGCTGTGTTCTATGAAGAACTAGGAAGAAATTCCATTTTCTAGGACATGCTCAAGACATATGTTTATTTATTCTGTCTAATAGTACTGCTGTGGTCTTCAATTTCTCTGTAATTCAGTGCTTAGCGTATTATATCTGGAAGAGTTAGCCGATGAAGGTCAAAAAAAAAAACGCTCCGCCATTCTTTTGCATGCCATCCTTCGTATTTGTTTCTCCCTAATCTAGGCAAGGAAAAGAAATTCATCACAAATATGCAGAGTATCTATGTTAATTCATAACAAGCATATATACACACAATGAAAACTGCAGACAGATTTCAAGAAAAATCAAGACATTGAAAGAGCATTAAAGAAGGATCACCAAGCAGAAAAAGCTACAGATACTGGTCTCTCTTGTCAACCATTTTAAGTAACTTCGCAAGGAGACGTGCTAAGAACATAGTTTTAACTATTCTTGTCCAGAGGTAATTCACATGGACATACATACACATAACTACTTCGAGACTGCCAAACTAAGATTCACATAGCTGAGATAACAGTCTCGCGATTGCAGAGTGATTCATGTAGCTGGGATCCACGAAGAAGCAAAATTCACAACTTGGTGATTTTCCTGCAGAGAACAAGATGAGGAAAAACATAAAGTGGGAAAATCAATATCGGATACCCATCTGTGCTGAATATTTTGAAGTTGGAAAGTGACATATGCCCATATCACATTTTCTAAACCTCCTCACAAATGGCTAATCTGGGTTTTACACTAACTAATGACAAACTCCAATGCTGGACAGGCTTCAGAGGAGGAACTGCCCATATTGGAAAGAAATGAAGATTAAGACAGTAACCTTGCACAAGACATGTTTTCTTTGTCACTCATCAACTAGGATTTCTGACATGAAAACAAAGGAAGACACAACTGCAACTGAACTCTCAAAGTGCATCCCACCCAACAACTACTACTGTCCTTTTATTGATACCATAATTGGCAATAGATAGTTTATCTAGCAACATGTCTCCAGCAATGGATAATGACTTCACAGGCAGACTAGTTTTAATCTGGATCATATTTTTCAGTTGAGAAATAGTCATGGAACTTGGCAAGTCTCGTGAAGAAATTCCAATATCTGATAATTTGAACTGGCGCTGTAATGATGGTGCGTAGTCAGGCTGTACTGATGGTGGGCAGAGAGCCAACTGAATGGTGGAGTGCTTTTGGATGTTGTAACTAGCCAAAGTCCGACTATTATTTAGAGATTTTCCCTCAAACACTAGACTTTGAACATCAGCCGGCAATCGTAGTTTATGAAAAATCTTGGCCTTGACCTTTTTCACTAAATCCTCAAGGCATACATCAATGTCATTGTTTTGCCACAACAGTTCTTGATAAATACCTGAATACGTTGAGGTGACATCTCTAACACAGATTCTGCTGTAATGCCCAAAGAAGATAGGGTCTTTGGATTCTCAAGCTCCTCTCCATGATAAGTTAGATCATTTAGGGGGAAACCAACTAAACTCTCAGCTATAATTTTGACATCATGAACAGTGTACAGCCCTTTAACTTCTAACTTCACGACTTCTCCAGTTGGCATTTTAAGAGAGACTGGAAACAGATCCCTTGGAGTAATCACCATATAAATGGTAGACTCCTTTTGAATATCAAGAAAGCCTAAAGTCTTCTCATCATCAAGCAGCTTTCCTGCATAAATCAGATTGAAGTCTTGTGAATTGATCCCTTCTTTGGCTGCTATCAAAGATTTGATACTCTGGATGGTATCACAAGTCCTAGCTTCAACCTCAATAATTTTCTGACCAGATGGCACTTTAATGAACAGTCTTATTGGCATAAAATTCTGGACAAAGAGCTGGAGAGTGGAATTTTGCTGAATGTTGCTACTGAGTAGCTTTTGGTCATCCCGAAGCCTTTCGCCATTGTAGAAAACCTGCTGAAGACATTCGGATATGCCTTCCTTGTCATTCAACTTTTCTTTGACACTTCTGACAGTCGCTGATTTCTTTACAGTCACAGCAACAGTTTTGATGACCTTCAGGTATACGTTCATCTGCGAGATAGAGAGAGAACAAACAAAGATAGGTCAGAGAAGTATTTGGTGAATTGAAGTTCATTGGCAAAGTGACAAAATAAGCACTGGAATTCACATTGCAGTAGATTATGTGGATGAAGAAATTCTTCTATGCTTGCTACTAGAAAGCAAACTAATTAGGTCCTTTCAGAAAATTTTCCTTTGCTTGATTCCACAATAGCCTGACTTTTCAATTTTTAAGTTACTGCATACATTTGCTTCTTAACCAGCTAGAGAAACATTAAAAAATTCCATCCACAATTCAATGCAAGTCACAACAGTTGTAAAAAAATGTTGTATTTCAATGAGAAGTAGACTAACATAGTAACACAAGTACGATTGCCTAGAACCTCAATGTTGCACAGTTTCCATGCCTTAGAAGCCACTTTTTCAATTCAAAAATTAATACTTTTACAAAGCAACCCAAAACTTGATGGCCTCAAATTCCATGTCTAACACCAAAAAAAAATTGATTATGTTACAAAGTCCACAAAGAAACCCCCCCCCCCCCCAAAAAATTTCTTTTTTGGTCGTTTCTTTTGTTTTAAATTTTAATTTAGCCAATACGCACTTATTTTAGTCTTTTTCAAAAAAAACACTCCACTGTGCTCCCAGAAAGTAGAAATAAGTTTGACAACTCTTCATTATTAAAACCCAAAACATGCAATGCTTAGTTTATAGAAGCCAAAGGAACAAAGAGTTACGTGCTTATTTCAAAATCAGAAGGAAAAGAGCAACCAACTTGAGAAAATCAACAATATAAAAAGCCTTCTACAATAATGCGTTTTCACTTCCTTTATATTGTGCAAATAAAAACCAGAAAAGGAAAAGAACCAGAAAAAAAAAAAAGTAGCGCCATGATCAAGGTTCTACAAACATACAAAGCTACAAACTTGAGATACCCATGATGTAAAAAGCATTTACACAATGGGATTAAGTATTTCTTTCTGTTTTTCCACATTTCCTTACAAATACTAACAGACAACAAACATGGTACCATGATCAAGGTCATACTTATGTACAGGCCTATAAGCAGAGGTAAAAAAAGGTGCCGTATTATCAAAAGAGAGCAGAAAGATTTGCAACTTTAACCTCTTCTTCTTCATCTCCATCGTTGTGTTGTGATGATTGACTGCTTCCATAGATGGAGGATTTTCTTTGCAGCCCAATGGTAGAATTGCAATCAATTGGAGAAAGAGATGAAAGAGGAGTTTTCTGAAGCTAAGAGGAAGTGGGAAAAAGCCTAAAATGGATCAAATTCTGTAGACTGCTTTAATTACTAAACTGTACTGGTTTGCTTATAGGAAGTCTTCAGCATTTGACTGGTTGTTTTTGTGGTGGGGGTGTTGCGGGGTTGTGTTTAGAACTCATCAGCTTTCTGTTTGCGCTGTAAAGGATTTTGAATTTTAATTGCCCAAAAGAATTTAGTCCACCAATCAAGATTCTTACGCCCTTTTCTTTTGCAAGAAAGGCAACCAGTAAAATTTTGATGGAAAAAAAAAAGCTTTCTCGCTATGGGATGTGGATCCAAAAAAAAAAAAAAAATTCAAGTGGAAGCAGAAATATATTACAGCTATTGTTGCTCTACGGCATGTAACAATAATAATGTACTAAGGAAAATAGCTAGCACATAATTAATCAAAAAATAAAGAGGGACGATGTAAAGAATCATATAATTGCTCTACAACTCATTTTTTTAATTTTTATTTTCTTGAGTATAGAAAACTCACAATTAAACTAAACTCCCTTAACTTGTCCATCATTTTGTTTTTAAAATTTGTCATTAAATTACTCATTGGTATGAAATTCTAGTGACTTTCTTTTCTTCCAATTATATGGTCCTCACAAAATCTTTAACAATCCAATACCTTAAATGTACAGTTTACTGTGGTCAGTGGCAAAACATTTTTATTGATAAATTAGCAGGACAAAATAAAATTTTTAAAAATTGTAGGCCTAAAACACATATTTTTTTCTTAATTCCATTGATAGATGGAGGTAGAGAGCTTCTTGGGAGAATTGCTTGTACGATCAAACTCAGCATATTGTATGCTTTTCTTTTAGCGCAGATTTCACCTGATGAATGTATCAGCGATGAATCAAACCACAATCTCCCACAGAAAAGTAACGATATCAACAATTCAAACCACAAAAAACCTTACAGATACCAGGAGTACATATGCATATGTACTCAAAAGAGGCTGTTTCGTGATCAGAAAGAATACACACTTCATACTACTACTGATACACAATCACAACCTGCAAAATCAAACAACTAATCCTCGAACCTAGTATCTACGCAGAGTCACAAAAGGGGTTGAATCCAGGTGTGTAGGTAATTCTGGAGAGGGATAATCACAGTGCTTTGTAACATTTGAAATTGGAGTCAATGGCAGTTTGTTTTCCAGTGGACTCAAAGGAAGATGGTGAGGGGTGTTCCGGGTTCCTTTTAGTGGGCGCAAACAAGCTAGGCGGCCCGGAAGCTGGTTGTTGCAAATTGGTAGCTTCGATGCCTGCATTGTTGCCTCCGTTTCTCTTGGCACTGGAGCACCAGAAGGATCCTGTTCAGAGAGTAATATTCTGTCAGCCTCTCGACAACTGAAGCCTAGGATGTAAAGCATCAATAAATGGTGGCAAATACACATTGTCTGCACGGAAGGGTATGATGTAAAGTCGAGGTGGTTACTGGGTTCTTGTACTAATAATCCTTACGTTGCTTTACGCTATAGAAATTCTTCTTCCAATAACTAATTTCAGGGCTTTGTGTTTGCTGAGAACATAAGACATGTGGAAGCAAAACAAGGAAATGCACTTATGGATACGCTGAAAGAAGCAACTTTCCGTGGTTGTAGTTTCAAAATGTACTGAAAATCTGTTTGGAAGAAAGTAGAAAGGGCAATTAAGCTCAGGCAAAGATGCATTTCTCTTCAAGAGGAAAACAACGGCAGAGGAGGAATTTTTGAAAGCAGCCAAATCTCCTGTTCGATGGAAATAACTGGAGACATGTATGACATGACAACTCAATATGCATGGTATGATGTCCGAAAAGTATCAGATTTTTTTCCTGCTGCAGTTTATGACTAATTTTACCTGGTGACCTATTCAATAACATATAAATTACTGTATAGAAGAAGATCATGGGTTGCAGACATACCCCAAGCACAAGGAAAGTAAATGCTTGATTATCTCCACCAAGATGAATTTCTATCAACTTCCGCAGATCAGCGAGAGTTGAATCTTTGACAACCTTTAGTGTAGTGATGAACTTCCCAGGGTTCTCCATTGATGCCTCCATTTCACATAAACATCAAGGTCTCCAATTTTTTCATCAATAGGATTGCAGTTCTCCTTTGAGGCTAAGGTACTCTCAAAAGAACTAGGTGCCATCTTCTTGTTTCCCATCGGTGTCTGAAAATTTTCAGGGATGTCTGACACCAAAAGATCCTTGGAGAGGCTTTTCTGAAGCTGTTTAACATCACTAATTGACTTTGCATCCGACCCCTCTTCAGTTGTCCTCACTGGTGATGCCATGGGTCAATATTCTCGGACCTCTTTCGGCCAGGCATAGGAGTTCTGATGTGCTGAGAGAGCTCTCTGTGATTCCCACAAAGGGTGAATATGTTTTGTATCCTCATTAGCCTGGAAGAGGCTGTATCTTGAGCACTTTCAGGTTCACTGGGTGATTCTGCTTGCAAAAGTTTATCCACTAATGTCTCTCTGAAGTTCTCTACTTTCTCTTGATTCTGAGATGAAACTTCAGGTGAAGAAACAGGAATAGATGGAGCCTTGGCAGCCAGTGTGCTCGAACAGACCACCTTTTCCTCTATTACCTCTTTCCGAACTTCTTCATCTGAGAACTTCTCTTTGTCATCCCCACTACCTTCTTCTTCATCCGCCTCAAATACAGTGCTCAGACATCCCTTGCTGGAAAAGCTCCGAACGAGAAGATCATAATCTTTGTCATCTCTTGAGTTCTTTCTACTGTCAAAATCCAAATAACTTTTGGTTTCACTGTTTCCTGCTTTAAAAACCACCACATCTTGCTTTCCAGCATCCAAGTCATATGATTTGTCCAAATCCATTGATTTCACCATCCCTGAATCTTCAGAATAGGTATCCAGCAGCTTCCTAACAAAGTTGCTTCCATCCATGTCCAGGGATCCACCTCCAACCCGTGATTTGTACAGCTCAGATTCAAGTTCTCTCAAACGCTGTCGAAGCATTTCAGACTCTTGTTGAAATTGAAGTACCACATTTTCCATCTTCCTCCTTTCCATTTCAATTAACTCATCTGCCATTTTTTCACATTCCTGTATCCTCTTCTCCAATTCACTTTTCAGTTTCTGAACCTGCTGATTTGCCTTTAGATTGATCTCCTCCTCCATTGTATCATGTCCTTTTCCTTCTGCAAGGGAAACTTTAGCCCTGAGGGCAGCAATTTCTTCTTCCTTCTTCATAAGTTCTTTTTGGGCATCGTTACGCTCTTTTTCTCTCAGCTTGTTCTCCATCTGTAGCTTGTAAATAAACTGGTCCATGGCTGCAATCCTTGACCCCAAAATGACAGCTGATGAAGAATCTTCTGCACCTCTTTCCTTAATTGGAGTATGAGGACCACGAACTATGCACTTAGCTTTAGCACCATATTCTAGAGTGGATATGGTTTGTGCAGCTCCTTAGGATCAGGGCTGGCACAGAGTATCATCAGAATTTTGGACTTGTCATCCTCAAAAGAATCCTAGACAAAATGATTGGAATTATTTCACAAAAGTCATTAAACATTGAGCTAGCAAGTTGTCATGATGAAAGATCCACCAGACCACAAAAGAAATGTACCTGAAGGAGCATTGTTAACTTGCTGTCTCTGAAAGGTACATGGGAATCACCATTTGCAATGGACTCAACCACACGCTTCAGTGCTGTGTTCCCTTGGTTAATTTTTGCTGTCTGAATTTCAGAGAGAGCATGATCATGGTTACAAGAAGAACATGATCATAACTTAATTGCACCACAAAAGCTACTATCCATAGCAATTCAATACCTGCAATTTAGCTTCCAATCCATTTTGACCAGCTTGTTCAATATTTTCAGAACCTGCCATGTCTACAAGCATTAGCCGTCCTCCAACTGTAGGGACATCAAGAATTATCTGCAAACATGAATAAAGTGGGATTGTGTTAGCAATGGAGCGACCAAGTTAACAGGCAAGCAATCAAATTATAAGCTAAATGATACCATGCAGTGGCTCCGAGAACTTCTCTCGTTACAGAGTGTGCTTTTGACAATCCTACGCTTTTCCACCTTTTGTATCTCCCTTGATATCTTTGTAGCTTCATGACCAGCAATAAAGCTCGCATTTTTAGCCTTCTTTCCCATTACTTCCAGCCTCACCTACGCAATAAAGACCAAGAATAGAGCATCCTGATGTGCCCAAGCCCAACATAACAAGGAAATAAAGCAATACAATATCAATGTCCGCCTCACAAACAAGCCAATGTTTAATAGCCATTTTCTGTAACTGTAGTACTTACAATCCAACTTCTCCATGGTCTGGCACTGCACAAGGTCCTAGCTAAAACACTGTTTTCAGCTACATTCTAGGTTGATGCGGGACAGAGCCATGGATAACAACAAAAAAACTAGAATCGACAATACTGATTCTACAAATGCAACAAGCAAAGTTCCAAACCCCTATCTACTTGAAGGTGAGAAGGTGCATCTTCTTCATGAGGAAGGTTAGTTTTATCACTAAAGAAGAAATAGACGCATTTTTCCATGTGCCTAACAAATTAATCTCCACAATTATATGCCTAAAATACATCATTAAAAACCTGCAAAGAACAAACGAAGTATATTCTAAGACTATCAAGTTCAAGAAAATACATGACGATGATGCTCCACTAAACACTATCAAACTCATGCATTCCATAACAAACTTAAGTAATCATTGGTTAGCCAAAAGTTTCCAGTTTTATATAACAACAATAACAGTTCAACAAAAGAGGAAGTTTTCACCTTAGAAGCACTTCTCCTTTAGCCCAACCAAGATTGAATCCTCCACCATTATTAGTAGACAGCAAATCATAAATCTCCTCATTGTATATCTCCAATACAGTCACTTGAACAAAAGTAGCAGGCCCCAACTTCTCACCATTTTCTTCACCCACTTCTTCACCTTCCCATAATATATCTTTCAATGATTTG